AGTTGATAAACTGGGGCAGTTGATAAATGCAGGACATTGGATTTTTTGTGTTTACCCAGAACTGCAATAAATACTAGTAAAAAATGGTAAGGAAAATTTCTGTTCAAATTAGGGATATTGAAGTTTGAGATATCAGTGTCATAAGGAAGCTTCACTTTAATGTGTTTTAAGTCTTGTTTCCTATGCAATTCTATGTGTCAGGTGTCTTCATTACCAGGGGCTTTATTTTGCTCTAATATGATTCTTTGAAGGGGTACATGGACCAGAGGTGCAGAACCACTTCTATAACTGGTAGCCTAATGCCAAGCCATTTTGACTTCTGTATATACATACATACATACATACATACATACATACATATATATATATATATACAGTTTAGGCCTAAAGGTATGTTTTTTAGGAGTTAATTATTATGAAGAAGAAAATGCTAAAATTACCAATCAAACAAAAAGAAGCTTTAAACCATCTGAAGGTTCATTTAATCACATAATGAATGCAAGTTTCCCAGGACAGGTGTTGGAATGGGTACCTGCATTTACCAGCACCTGCCACCACTTGCTTCCAGTGGTGCATGCGAAGTGCTGCCTTTCTAAAGCATGTCTTTGTTATAATGCTTCCTATATTCACAAGAACAGAGAAGAATAAAGAAGCATATGTTGGGTTTTTTCCTTCCCTACTTTTTTTTTTAATCTCAGATTTATTATCATCTTCCCTTCTATTGTCAAATAATAACTGTATGTGGAACAGCAAGACTGGAATGTCCTGTCCATCTCAGGGTTTTCAGACTTGCAGTGCTTATTTCTGGGCCCCAAAATTCATGCAGAAATCTAAAATCTGCTTAGCAAATAATCCAGATGCAATGCTGTGACTCATGGCTGAAGTTCCTGCATGGATCTCAGGATTGCATCTGGAAATCCGGGTGAGAGGAGGAGGTGGCCATGCTTCTCCCTGCTGTCACCTCCAGTATTCCCGGCCAGAGGAGGTAAGGAAAAGCAGGAGCCAGGTGCAGGTGGTTTTGACTTCCTGGTCTGAGTGTTCCTGTGCTGAGAGAAGCGTGACTTGTGCTGCTGTCCTTACACTCCACGGCCTCTTGTGGGGTTTGGCACCTCCTGCCTGTCCCTTCCCTTTTGTTCTGCCTGTCAGTGTGAGTGACAGTCCTTGGAGTATAAAAGGGAGACAACTCCATGCCTTGGACTACTAGGAGGATTTCTGAGGTTGTCTTATCCCTACTCAGAGTATTTGCTGAGAGAAAAACTTCCTCCTGGCATGGCAAGTAGGTAAGAGAAACTTCTTCTCTGACATGAAGGGTGAAGGGGGTGGGATACATTTGTCTGAGAGAACATTATGTGACATGCAGCATGGCAATAACCCTGCTTCCTCTTTTTATTCTGTTTTCTAACTTCAGTATAAAAAATCGGTGAGACTTCTGAGCCATAAGCTGGTTTAGCTTAAAATAAAGGTGATGCTAAGATCAGATTTTGCTTAAAAATAGCTATAATGTAATGTAGAGATATGTAGAGTTGCTTCTTCAAACATCACCTGCTTGCCCAGGACCTTGACAGACTGAGTAACTGCTGAGTAACTGCCCCCTCTTATGTTTGTTCCTTCACAACGCCTTTTCCTTTCCACCTACAAAACCTTCCTCACTTAAACCTTGGTATTTCAAATAACAGCTTTAAACTTAAAAAAAAAAAAAAAAGTCACTGGACTCAAATAAAAGACATACACAGTAGCATAAGGGGAAAATGGAGATAATAGCTTCTATCCTCTATTAACCATATAAGCTGATGCATGCATTTCACAAAATTGAACCCATTTTATAAAATGATTGGAAACTTCTTGTGGATGTTCTGGTGTTCCAAATGCTCTTGTTCTCTGTGTAAAGATTAAAGGCTGTTTAAAATTGGATGTTGTTCAAAGGATCTCTGAAGGTAAATTTACTTTGGAGAAGATGTTTGATCAAACCTTCTTTGCAGAGCTGTGTGACCCATTTGCAACACATGTTTTTCTTGCTTTGACACTGTTGACTTGCTCACGTTATTTGCTGCTGACCTTTAATTCTCTTCATCTCCTGAGTAATTTCTGATTTATAGCAATAAAATCTTCCTTGTTTTGGATAGAACAAAGGTTTCATACAAGAAAATCACTCAGAAAAATCAGGCACACCATGAATGTTTCACTTGAAAGCCATAAAAAAATGGGGATGATATATTCTTTTGCTCTAGCCATACTGCTGGTGCATCAAGTTACTATTGCAAAGAGCCTCCCCCAAAAGTTGTCTCAGGCCTTAGAAGTGCAGACTAAGTGTTCTTGTTATTGGGGTGGTGCTTTGCTCATGAAAGCACAGCCCAGCAAGGCTCCAACTGGACAAAATCCAATTGGCCTCACTTCTTGCACAGAAATAATTTATTCTATGTGAAAGCACAAATTTAACAACTGAGAGCTTTCACCATAGGGAGGGAGTTGAGAATTGATGATAAGAATCTCTGGGTTGAGTCATACATACAGTTATATTGAAATCCAGAGAGTAAATGTACAATACTCTTTTCCAGAACAACCTTACCTAAAAGCTGGTGTGTCATGAATTTGCATGAAGGTGTTGAGCATCTTCTCATTGAAGTTGTCTCACCTAATATGTGTAAGCAAAGTTTATGGCCCTTTTTGAAAGAAATACTGTGCAAAAAGAGTTTTTACAAGGTGACTGTGTAAGCTGCTAAACAAGTTCTTTGCTTTGGCAAGGATGTATTTTTGTTTAACCTTCAGTTTCAATGTGTACAGGTGCTCTCTGTTTGGAAACAGAGAAACATGGAAAAGTCCACAATGATATTGTGGTAGCACCCAGCCGAGATAAAGAAGAGAAAAGGGCTTTATTTTCTAAAATTAGGTGAATTCAGAGTTTTGGGACAAGTTTTCTGAATGCAGGATTACGTTTAGTAGAAGTATATTTATGAAACAAATATGAGGATTGAAATCTGTTAGGTAGCCCTCTCCTGAGTAGACCCATTGAGCTCATGCGATATTCCATAACATCTCTAGAGGAGGAAAGGTCCAACAAAGCCCTAAAGTGCTTTATAAACACAGGAAAAATCTGCTCAGAGCAGACCAAGAAGAAACAGTAGGTATTGAAGGGATGACAGATCTCCTGTGTAGGTGACTTTTACCAAAATACATCCATACTAAAATATGTGTGTATAAAATACTGAATTTATGGAACAAAGTATTATAATAAAACCCAACTGACACTCTCTATAATGCTTCACATATCTTGAATGTCCAGCATACAGCAGACTCCTATCCACCACTTCCAAAGTAAAAACTGTATTAGACACAATATGATGGCGCTCAAACAGATGGGATAAGCTGAGGCAGAGGGGCAGGCAGCAGGAGGGCCCAGAACCCAGGAGAAAAGTGACCCAATAATATTAGGTCAGTCTAAGTCTTTTTCCTTCTTTCAGGTATAGGTACCTTTTCAAGCCTAGTTCAAAATTCAAATGATCTTGTGGATCTGTCAGTACCTCCTGAGGTACATGATGGCTCAGCTTCACAGCTCCAGGCAGCCTGAGGTGTGGCAGCCCTGCCCTTCTGTAAGAGGCTGCTTTCCCCACTCTAAATAGTTCTGTGAATATCACATGTATTCTTCATGCTCCTCAGCTGCTGCAGTACATCCTCTGGGGCTTTAATGTAAACTGCCTGCTTTTGGCTCCTAGCTCAGGGATGTGAATTCCTTTGGGCATCAAGCTCTCAAAGAGTTAAGCACAGATTGCTTGAGCTTTTCAGGGTTTTAAACTTAGGGTATGAGTTCCATCCCAAAGTTACACAGAGAATCTGGAGAAAAAGTATTGCTCAGTGACAGGGGAAAAAAGTCTCAGTTCTCCAAGCACAGTTTGCTACTTTCTGTTTCTTCCAGTATGGAGCTTAAACCATCAGTTTCTGAGCCTGCTACAAAGTGAAGAGAGGAGAGGACACATAAAATGCTGGCTCACTTTTTGCACTTCCTGACTCTCAAGCTGCCATGTCAGAAGACTGTGACTTCATCACAATATTTGTTTGCTCTTCCTGCTTGAGAGCATGGATTTTGCCACTGGCAGGAGGATACAGCAAGTTATCTCCATCCTGGGCAGCACAGAAGCAGAAGACATAACAGGAATCAGGAGGTTCAGAGCTGGACTTGAAGGTGCTTTAGTTTAGTATGGGAGAACCAGTTAAAAAATCATGGCACGTTGGCCAAACAGCTATTTGAAAGAAATGCCTATTGTTAACAGATTTCAGTACTTTTCTTATTTTTTGCTTTGGAGGAGAATTCAAACTTATCAAGTGGTTCTTCTCTGGGCTTTGGTGCACGTGCTGGTTTGTAACTGATTAATTCCACTGTCACTCATTTACAGATTAATCCATTCCTCTTTCTTCTCCACTCTATTCTTTGTCTTGATCCTATTGATGTGGACATGATGCACTTGGAGCTACCTCTGGGCGGTTCATCACAGTAACAACTTCCTAAATCTTGTTGATAGATGGATGAATAGACTTCTGAAAGCTGTACACTACTATTCAGGGCAAAATTCCATTAAAAACAAGGAAAGGAGCAGTCTAGGTAGGTCTGTATGTGCATCAGAGATCAGTGCATGAAAGATATTTATTGTAGAGGGAATTCTTCACTTCCTGTTCTGTTGGTAGTGCTGTTGCACACTGGTAACATCTCCTGCTTGCCTCTGGTTTGTACAAGAATGAAATACCACTGTCTTCATTTTTGTTTTTTGGAAACTGCAAGAAGACTTATCAACAAGAACTTTTTCAAATAAACTCTAACATAACCTTAGGGGAGGCTCAAGTTTCTTTATGGGTTACCTGCATTCCTTAAAGATGAATGTGTGGTTTTTAGACCAGCACTGACAGGAAGGTGTGGGGAGAAAGAGAAACCTCTCCTGATGACAAGCTGGTATCCAGAACATGGAGTGACATTAGAAGACTCCAGAAGTGGGACTTACAGAAGTAACAGCATGTCTTTTTTTAATGTGTATTTCTCTGCATTTCTTGACAGGAAGGCCTTAAATCATGAACTTTCTAAACTTTTCAGTGAGATGTAGGATATGGATGTTCCCCGCCTCATGCCTGGGAGAGACTACACGATTGATGTTCAGGTAACCAGCTGCCAAGTCACATGAGGATTAAGGGCAGCGTGGTGCTGTAGGAAAAGGTGCTTTAGGAAAAGTGCCTTTCCTAAAAAAAATTGTGTGTGCTTTGTAATTTCCATTTTCAAGAGCTACCAAGATGATACTCTGAGCAATATGGTCTGAATTCAGTGCTGGCCACACTTCGAGCAGAACTAGAGTCCTGAGGTCCTCTCCTGGACATCCATGGATGTTTCAGCATGTGAATGATGGTTTGTGTGTACAGTCTGGGTGACTTGCAGTAGGTGAGATAGAACCCAAGTCATTCTTAGGGGAATAAGGGAGGAATTTGAGGAATTCTTGGGTTTTTCCTGGAGAGTGGGGAATAGCACAGAGGCGTGGGTGAAGAGGATTTCAGGGCTGTTGCTTACAGTCTGAGGGAACTGTAAGGGAGGAGTGGGTATCAGATTTGATAGGCAGCCATTTCACTCCTTTCTAGCTCAGTGTAGTGCAAAAACAACCATGTGTTTTAGCCACAGACTGCAAGAGGCCACTGAATATTCAGAATCCAGTTTTGTACTCACACAAATACTCACTTTATTCCGATGTTACTCAAATGTTTTATTCCAATGGTGCCTCACATTATAACATATAATATTCTGTTGCTGATAAATTTGAAATAGGGTTACCAAAATATAGCCAAAATATGCGTGGGGGAAACTTCTCCCATATGGTTTCTCCATTTGTCTTAACAAGGCTCTACTTACCCTTGCCCATGTTAACAAACTGCTACTCATCTTCTATCCTCCTTCCTTGGGAATGCCCTTTATGAAATAGAAATTTGAAAGCTGTCAGGAAAGCCTCCTCACAACTGCACAGAGAAGGAGGGTCCTCAAATGTCCTTTTTATTTATTTGAGTTGGGAGGGACCCTTGGCTCTACATTACTTCTGCTTGTCATTTATATAGCAGAGTAACACAGCTGACTGTTGATCAGAACTGAATTGTCACATGGATGTCATTGTCACAGAGATGACTGTGCATCACAGTCATCTCTGAGTCAACGGAGAAATTTCAGGCTCTTACAGTGTCAGAGATTATGCCTTTTTTACTTTATGTTGGCAGTTCTTGTGTAATGTCTTCTCTTGTTTCATAGGAAGACAATTCCTAACAAAGAATCCTGATGGGGGTTTGTTTGGATTATTACAAAGGCAGGCACTGTCTCCTCTGAGGACACCTTACTTCCCACATTGTTTTACTCTGGTATTTCTCCCAGGGAGAAGCAGGTCCAGCACAGCCAGGGGACAGTGCTGTCCGGGACAATGCAGCCAGACATCTGTTCCACAATGTAAATGAAGGACTCCTGAAGAGCATAAAAACTTTTGCAAGTGAGACCTGTTCTTTTGTTAACGGTGGACATGACATGGAAGAATCCATGTTGGGTTTTATGGGTTTGCCTAAAATATAGCATCGTATATTATTTCGATGGTGATGAGGATCATCAGGCTGCACGTCATTTGAAGGGGGTTTTCATAACATGGAGGTTACCTTTGACCTTAGCGTCAGGGAGAACATCCTTTTACGCCTTAGCCAAAATCTGAATTTCTCTGTGATTCTTTCACTACAAAGTGAAAAGGATGAGACTCTTGTGGAAAGACTGAAAGAGGTGGGATTTTTCAGCCTGCAAAAGAGAAGGCTTCAGAGTTACCTCATTGTGGCCTTCCAGTACCTGAAGGGAGCTATAAGAAAGATGGAGGGAGACTATTTCCAACGGCCTGGAGTGACAGGACAAGGGGGAATGGCTTCAAATTGACAGAAAGTAGGTTTAGATTGGATATTGGGAAGAAATTCTTCCCTATGGGGGTGGGGAGGCCCTGGCACAGGTTGCCCAGAGAAGCTGTGGCTGCCCCATCCCTGGAAGTGTCCAAGGCCAGGTTGGATGGAGCTCTGAGCAACCTGGGCTAGTGGAAGGTGTCCCTGCCCATGGCAGGGGGTTGGAACAAGATGATCTTTAAGGTCTCTTCCAACCCAGGCCATTTTACGATTCTATGTTTCTGTATATTAAAAAATACACCAAATTCATCTTTCCTCCTTTGCTCACAGCCTCTAAGCCCTTGCAGACAGCTCTACATCCATAGCTATTCCATGCATTGCTGTTGGGGGCTTGTCATGGTTTGAGATAGCCCCAAAAATCCAATTCCCTAGCTCCATCCCCCCTCCCAACATCTCAACCTAATGTGAGATGGGTTTTTCCAGACAAAACACACCAGACTCAAAGTGGGGGAAAGGGAATATATTACAATGACTGTACAAATAAATACCATATCACATTATACACATGATCACAAACTATCTCTACCATGACATATAGTATTTACAATGGATCAGATCTCTTCTCCCCTCCAAATAAAGTCCAGGAGGGAAAGAAGGACAGATCCCTTCCATTCCTTAAGCAGCAGCATCTTCTAAGGCAGCAGGTTTCTCCTCATCTCATGCATGCAGCAGCTGTGGCTGGCTTTCTGCCAGCATCCACGAGGGATGTATCCAACCTCTCTCGGCCCCATCGCCTCCAACCGAGGGGTCTTCCGTGGGCTTCGTAACCCCAGACAAGGTCGTATCACCACGTCATATCACGAAGACTCAGGGGGGTCTTCGTGACGGTCTGGTATCTCCAGGAGACTCAGCTCCTTGCAGGGCCTCTGTGCCCTGCCTTCAGGCTGCCACCGTGGCAGCAGTGCGAGGGGAGAGCCAAGGTCAACTCCCCCTGCATTCCATCTGGCCGTCCCGGTCCAGCTCCGGGACGTCTTTGAGCTTCTCAGCTCCTCTCTCTCTCCGGTGCTGCGTGTCTAAAACTCTTCTCCTTAATAGGAGTCCATCTCCCTCTTTTCTCAGAGGGATCTCAAAGGAGTTTTGGGGGGCTGGTACAGTCTTACCCTCAGAACTCTGTCTCTCAGGCTGCTGGCTCTCTTTCTCCCGGCTCTCCTTCCAGGAGTCCTTTTTCTGGTGCTGCATGCTGCTTCTGCTGCTCCTTCAGTTCAGGTGTTATCTGTCCTGGCTCTCTGCCACCGTTTCTGTGGTGCTTGCCGGCTGCTGCTCTGTGCCCATGGAGAAAACATCTCCCAGCTTAACTACAGACACTTAGTCCAGCCTAGCACTGTTCCAGGTCTTTGCAGTCCCCCCCCCTAGCCAGGGGCCCCTTCCTCGTGGCTCTACAACATGGCCACCTCTCCTCAACAACCAAAACTACAAGTCATCTCTTCCGGTGAGCTTGTGGAATGTTGACATTTTTGCAGGAGCGCCCATTGGGCAGAACTTCAAAACTTCCAGGGGTTTCCACCCCTTGGGGTCTACCACTTTTCTTAGCCTCTGGGGGAAAACAAAGTCCAAACCACGACAGGGCTATAGTTCAAGCACGTCCATGAATGTATATTTCCTTCCCTAATTTTTCTCAAGCTATCTCATGTAGGTTTAAGCTGAATTATTCCTCCACTGAGGAGCCTTTATTTCCTTACTGGACAACTATGAGACATCAACTGGTGTAGCTGAAGTAGTGACTCCAGAAGAAATAGCTGAAAACAACAGTTTTCTTGATGCTATCTTAGCAACAGAGGTCATGAGGGTAAGTAATGCAGATCTTTTTTTGTCACTGAAAACATTGAATTAAAAAGTAAACTCTGTCTGTGTCTTGGTTTTCTATCCTTCAGCGAGCTCATGAATATCTGCTCAAAAAAAACCTAGCAAAGCCAAACCTTACCGATTTCAAGCATCAGCTCTATGACATCTGGTTCCAGCTCTACGCCAGGAAAGAAAAAGACAGGTATGTTTGATGGGTATGGCCACTGTTCATTCCTATGCTGTTTGATTTAGATAAGTATCTGAGTGCTGTCTGTTACACACTGAACTGGAAGACATCCTCAGAATGGCTTCAAATTGACAGAGAGTAGGTTTAGATTGGACATTAGGAAGAGATTCTTCCCCGTGAGGGTGATGTGGCCCTGGCACAGGTTGCCCAGAGAAGCTGTGGCTGCCCCATCCCTGGAAGTGTTGAAGGCCAGGTTGGATGGGGTTCTGAGCAACTTGGGATAGTGGAAGGTGTCCCTGCCCATCAGATGATTTTTAAGGTCCCTTCCAACCCAAACCATTCTATGACTCTATGAATGTTGCCTAAATTAGGTGTTGAAATCTTACTGCTCAGAGACAAACAGTGTTGACCTTTGTGGTACATTGCTAGTGAATTGCCTCCGGCTGCTCTTTGTGAACCTAATCAGAGGCCTTCGACCACAGACTTTTCAGATCTTACTTCATCAGTTTGACTATGAGTCTGTTACAGGAAACAGTGCCAGAAACACTGATAAAATCTGGATGAGCAGCAGTGATGCATCTGTGGCATTTACTATTAACCTTCATCATCAAATACAAATTCAGTCCTCATGGCTGGAGTTTTGTGATGGTTTCACTCTAGGCCTTCCTGGAGACCAGCTTGTAACGAGGAAGGAACTAGGAAAATGATCACGGAAGTATTCCATGCTATTCCTTTACGTAACTTGAGGTATAAATAAAGCCAGCAGGAGGGACCTCGCGCTCTTCCTTTCTGGCGAGGTTCGAGAACGGCGGGTCCCTGTTTCGGTCTGGCTTATCTGGAGCCAAGGCTTACAGTGACTGCCGTTATCTGCCACGCATGAGGGGAGAGTGCTGGGCCGTGTCTGGCCATCCTGCTTGTTCAAAGGGAAGTGGTGAGATTTTGCTAATTTACCTTCAGTTGGCTGGTTTGACTTGTTTGGTCTTTGTCCCTTTTTGTCCTTTTCCCTTCTCCCTCCCCCTTTTCCCTTTTTGGGGAACTGTTTGGGATTTCTGGAGTTGTGGTGCATAGTATTCTCATTGTATATATCTGTCTCATATATAAAATATATATATATTTTTGCTATAGCTTTGGCTGTTTAAGTCGTTTTTTTTTCTCTTCCCTCTCTGGGAAGCAGGTCCTTGTCGTCGAGTTTCAGGGACTTGGCGGGAAGCCAGCTCGAAACTTGCACAAGTTTATTGCAAGTTTTGAGCACAGTGAGAAAGAAAACCCAACAAATCCAGACAGAAACTACTCATTAATCAACCTAAGCAAGATTGTGCATCTTCTTACCTTTTACCTCTGCCAATTTGAACTATTTAAACACATAAAAGACCTATATATTGTTCTTTTGTTTATTACAGACCCGATTCTTGTGTTTTTGAGCATGTTTTTGTTGGAGAAACAAGGCATGGCAAAGAGATCTTAGGTTTGCATAACTGGGTGCAATTCTACCTTCAGGAAAAGTGTAACCAAATTGATTACAAGGGATATGTCGCTTGGAAGAACAAAACCAGGGTAAGAACAAGCAGGGTGCCTTTGCAAGCAAGACAAATGGATCCAGTTGTGGTAATGAAAGAAGGTTCAGTGATGCAATCACAGGCTCAACTGTTTTGAACAGTAATAAGTATATACAGTATATAACTGTAGATAATCAGAATAAATACCACCCTGCCGTCCAGCTTCCTTTATTGCAAAAACTGTTTTAAAAAGTAGTGATGGTGTTTACAGAATTGCAACACTGTTGGGGCTTAATTGAAATAAATGATCGTATATGGTCCAGAGGTATGGGAGAAGACTGTGCTCCAGCTATAGCACCCTGGTACACCAAGCATGACTAAATCTTTCAAAGCTCTCAAAAACCTGGAATCAGAAATTCTATCTGCCCTCTCACAGCTGTGTTTGAGATTATCCTGTTGTTTTTTTTATGCTTTCAGCCTGACAAAGATGTCCAAGTTTTAAGCATCCAGTTCAGCTGGAAGGGCTCAGTCAAGCTGATTGGAAGCACCTTTATTGGTGTGAGCCCGGAGTTTGAATTTGCCCTTTACATCGTCATTTTCCTGCTGTCTGAAGAAAAAGTCACCCATGAAACAGTGAAAATAGATGAGTTGTCTGGTGCCATGGGCACCACATTGGAACAGCATATCCTGTGCTGCTCAGCACCAGTAGTGAAGACTCGTAGTTAGAACAGTCCACACTCCTTTTTTTCCCAAAGAAGTGTGGTGTGGTGGGGAAGGGAGGAAAGGATGGGGGGTGGACAGAACCAGACAGCAGAATAAGTTAATGTGCTGTTTTATACAACTCATTTTAAGTAAAAATTGATGACTCACTCTCTTTTGGTCTGCAATGTAGTGTTAAATCAGAAGTGTGCTGCGACTTAGCATCTGACAAACCATGAAACATACTGCTGCTGACATTAAAGGCTGAATCAGATTTACTTTAAATTTACATCAGCCTTCTCTGCTGCTCCAGCTGGGTCCCTGTAAATCTCTGGGGCCTGGTGGGATTCATCTGAGAAAGCTCAAAGAGCTGCTGATGCCACCACGAGGCCTCTCTCGATGATTTTTGCACTGTCTTGGAAATCTGGAGAGGTCCCAGTTGACTGGAAACTGGCTAGTGTTGTTCCAATTTTCAAAAAAGACAAGAAGGATGACCCTGGAAACTACAGGCCTGTTAGTCTCACTTCAGTGCTTGGTAAAGTTATGAAGAAGATTATTCTGGGAGATATTGAAAAACAACTGAGGGGCAATGCAGTCATTGGTCACAGCCAGCATGGCTTCACGAGGGGAAAGTCCTGCTGATCAAACCTGATTTCCTTTTAGGACAAGGTAACCCACTTGGTTGATCAAGGGAAGCCAGTTGATGTAATCCTTCGGATTTCAATAAAGCTTTGGATACTGTCTCTCCCAGTACCCTTCTGGACAAAATGTCCATTCCAGAGATGGATAAACTCATCATGTGGTGGGTGAGCAATTGGCTCACGAGTCCTGTACAGAGGGTGACAGTGACTGGGGTGACATTGGACTGGGGACCTGTCACTGGTGGGGTTCCACAGGGCTCCGTCTTAGGCCCAGTGCTCTTCTACATCTTCATAAATGACTTGGACACAGGACTGGAAGGGATACTGAGCAAGTTTGAAGATGATACAAAACTGGGAGGGGCTGTTGACTCCCTTGAAGACAGAAGGGCCATTCAGAGAGACCTTGATAAGTTAGAGGATTGGGCAATCACCAATCCTGTGAAGTTTAACAAAGATAAGTGCCAGATTCTGCACCTGGGATGGGGCGACCACAGATGTAGGAACTGGGGGAATGAGATGCTGGTAAACAGTGCCAGGAAAGGGTCCTGGGGGTCCTGGTCAATGGCCAGTGGGACATGAGTCAGCAGTGCCCTGGCAGCCAGGAGGGCCAACCCTGTCCTGGGGGGCATCAGGCCCAGCATCACCTGCCAGGCCAGGGAGGGGATTGTCCCGCTCTGCTCTGCCCTGGGGCAGCCTCACCTGCAATATTGGGGCACCATAATATAAGAAAGACATTAAGCCATTAGAGTGTCCAAAGGAGGACAATGAAGATGGTGAAGGGCCTTGATTTGAATGCGTGTGAGGACACTGAGGGCACTTGGTGTGTTCAGCTGGAGAAGAGGAGACTGAGGGGAGACCTCACTGCAGTTACAACTTCCTTGGGAGGGGAAGAGGAGGGGCAGGGACTAAGCTCTGCTCTGTGGGGACCAGTGACAGGACCCCTGGGAATGGCCTGAAGTTGTGTCAGAGGAGGTTCAGGTAGGATATTAGGAAAAGGTTCTTCCCCCAAGGGTGGTTGGGCACTGACCAGGCTCCCCAGGGCAGTGGGAAAAGCATGAAGGCTGGCAGAGCTCAAGGTGTGTTTGCGTGATACTCTCAGGCATAGGGTGTGACTCTTGGGGATGGTCCTGTGCAGGGCCAGGAGTTGGACTCGATGATCCTTGTGGATCCCTTCCAACTCGGAATATTCTGTGATATTCTGTAAATGCTGCAGAGACCAAGCCAAGGGTTCCTAAAGCTCTTGAAACTGCATGAGAGACTGCTCAGGCCTTGATACACAGGAGGAACAGCTGAGAGAACAGCTGAGAGAATAGCAACAGAGGACCATGAATGGGTACAACCTTCCCTGCAGCACCAAGTGTCCTGAAGGACAACAAGAGAGGCTGAACTCAGGCTCTGGTGAATATTTGAAACACCTCAGGGTCTGAGGCAGATATTGGAAATGGTACAAAATCATAGAGCTGTCACATGGAACATCCGCTCCCTGGTCTAGAAAACAACTCTGTGGAAGGTCAAAGGCACTCAGTTTGCTTCAGGTTGGGGAACTTCTCTGCTGCCAAGGGTCCACGGGTCACATTGCAGGCCTTGACCGCTCTTGAGAGTCCTGTTTCATCTTTGCATAGGTGGCAGGGCAGAACTGAGAATAGAGCTGAGCCAGCAGAGCCTGGGAAGGGATCTCTAGCCTGGTCCTGTGGTTCATTTGATTCCATATGTGCACTGCATAGGTGTTCTTAAGGAGTTTGTGAAGCTCCGAGGCACTGATTGCCTCAAATAACTTCTTCCAGTCCTGCCAGGGAATAGGATAAACTGCTTCTGGGTCAAGAGCCCTCACCCCTTTGCAGCTCATGCTCTGAATAGTCCTGATGGGGCACCACTTCTTGAAGACACGTGTTAGGAGATGTGGGCCCTGGTGTCCCCAGATCCAGGCATTGTAGTTCTTCACAAAGTCTTTCATGCAAAGCGCCATGAACCTGTGCTTGGGCTTAAAGGACAAAAAGGCCCCGTTCAGTTCATCCTCACTCTGTATCCCGAGGGAATTGGTGAGGTTCTGTAAGTTCCTAAGCACAATGAAGTCTGTATCGAGGTAGATGCCACCAAATTTCCACATGAGGACAATTCTGCAGGCATCAGACAAGACGGGTAGGAAATAAGGCTCCCAGCGCCGCAGAGGCCACAAGTACCACTTCTTCAGAGGCGTTCCAGAAAAGAGCTCTGGCAAGTCCAGGGGCCGGATTTCCACGTTGGGGAAGCAGCTCAGCAAGGAGAAAACCCAGTGTTTGGGTAAGGAGGCATTTCCTTTTGCCAAGCCTTTCATGAGCACCACAACACTTGTCCTGGGGTGTGTCCTGGCCGCTGACTCCACAGAGCACGAGAACAGGTAACCTGGGTTAGTCCGCTCCGAGGTCTCCACGAAAAACACGTTCCCTCTGGAAGGAGAGGGCTCCCCAGCATTTGGAAGGGAAAAAGGCACAGAGTGAGCACAGTTGAATTCCCCAGGCAGGTTGTAGAGGCCACTGCCGTAGGAGTCCTCCGCGATTCTCCAGTACAACGTGAGGTAGGCAAAGGACACCAACATGAGGGTGAGGATGAACAGAGCCCTGTGCTTGTGGCTCAGCAGCACCCTGGGCAGCTTTAGCAGGGAGTTGGGCATCCTGAGCATCATCTCTCCGGCCAGAGCCTGCTCTCCTGAGACTGCTGTCAGGACCTGAATGGAAGGAAAGAAGAAATAGACTCTGACAGATGCGGCAGCAGACCACAAGCCTTGCTTCACGGTCGGGTGCCATCTTTATAGGTGCATAACAAACTCTGGGAAGAGCATTAGAAGCCTTATCTATCATCTTCCAGAATTTCAGGCCATTCTGGACATGAGATATATATGCAAAATGACCTAGGGCTACTGAAATAGGAATGCTCCTTATGAACATTCCTGGAGCTCTGTCAACAGACATTGTGTGGAGCTGCTGCCCTGACAGCTATCTCCCATGATGAGTTTTTTCTCCTGATCCACAATGTGTCCTTCCCCCCAAACCAAACAGTCTCCCAGGCTGTTGAACCAGCAGTTGCTGCCTTTTGAAACCAACCACCCACCCCTACAGAGAGCCTTGGTCATTTTTCATGGCACAGCAGCCTAGTGGAATGGATGGATAGTGGGAGGGGAACGGATACAAGGCAAGTCTGGAGGCAGATGCAGAAAATTAAGGACAAGAACTGCCTTGGTAAAGCGAGTTTCAAGGCTGCTTCCCAACCCTACAAAGGCCATGCTGGATATGACCTGCTCAGCTCTTCCAGTGGATCCTGGTAATGGATATACAGTTCCCCTACCCTCCTGCCCTTACTCTCTCTCTTCTTCTGGCAAAAGGGAGGGATGGAGAGGAATAGATTATTAATGATGCAGCAACAAACAGTTAAATTATTCTAGCTGCATTCTCAGCATTTGCATCAGCATTTCTGCCCTTTCCTCCCCATAAAATGAAGTTAAAGCATAACCAGCACCCTCTGGACCCACCATTGAGGCCCCAAAGGTCAATGCACAAAAGCACATGAAGAAGCAGCAAGGGAAGATTGTGGCATTTTAGGACCAGAAGAAATGGCCTCAAGTTGGGCCAGGGAAACTTTAGGGAGGACATTAGGAGATATTTACTCACTGGGTTATCAAGCATTGGCACAGGCTGCCCAGGAAAGTGGTCACCATCCCTGGAGGTATTAACAGACATGTAGGTCTGGCACTTAGGGACTTGGTTAAGTGGTGGACTTGGCAGAGCAAGGCTTGGGGTTGGACCCAAAGAAAGCAAGAGACTCACCTGCCTCTGCTTTCAAGACACCAGAGAATTCACTGCTCAGCTGGACAAGATTTTTAACAGGTCAGCGTCTCTGAGAGCACCTACAACTCTGTGGTCTGGCACTTCCTTCTTCTGGAAAGAAAAGGTGGGAGATGAAGTCTGAAGTGACAAACACAGTGGTAGGTGTGTAAATTTGCTACAAATTCAGTAACAAAACCAGAGAGGAGGAAAAGGTCCAGCAAAGTGCTGCTGCATACCCAGGTAGAGGGGTTTGGGACAATAAATATCACTGATCACAAGCAGCAGGAGAAAACAGCTGAAGATCTCCATTTTCTCCTGATTTACATTATTAACAAGAGTAGAAGAGGTAAGATTTGGCAATACTAGCATTCAATAGGCGACTAATCAGTCAGGCAAATAGAAACAGAGTGGTGCCAAACAGGGGTATTTAGGGGAATTAGTTTTTAGCGTTTTACCAACAACGTTAGAGCTCCTCCTTCTGACCTTGCAGGGAACGGCACACCAAGCACATGTGAATATTTGAGGCAAGATGAGAGCTGCTTCTAAGGTGTTTAATTTCTGCTTTTACAAACCTAGTGTGACTGTCCTGGTCACTCCCCAAGTGTAGATCTCTGAAGCTCAAAGTGTAGATTTAATGAGATATATTACAGTAGATGAAAGAGTAGAGCTGAGTTTATCTTCCAAAAAGTCCAACAGCTTTTAACATTGTGAAATAAGCTGTGCAAATGCACAAAGTTTAATTGAAGGGTTCTGTCACCAATGTGCCAATGTCTCCCTCAAACTCCATGTAGTGAAAGTGGTGCCAGGTTCTTAACAAAGTTAAAAAGCAGTAACTTTTCACAAGGAATATGTTCTTTAAAGAAATTTCTGTCTGAAAGGTGCAAAACATTTAAGTGTCTTCTCTGCTTTAATCTCTCTTTACCTTTTGGTAAAAGGTTGCATAATTTAAAAGAAATAAAATAAATACAATGCAATAGTAAAAGCAGAAGTTCCGTGAGACAAACCAAAAACGTGCAAAATGTAACAGAGAAGTATATTATGCTTGCTATAGAGAGCTATAGGTCAGTTTGGTAGCGGAACAGAATTTTCCATTTCAGATTAATCACTCCTCAGCTGGGGGGGGGGGGGAAGGAAAAATCTCTAGTGAGATTTTTTTTCCTCAGTCATTTTTTTTAATCTCTGTTGAACAAAAGCCTTGTTGTTCTATGATTTTTCCAACACACCTCCAGTCTCTGAGATTGGCAACTTTGAAGTGTTTCTACACTTCCTCTAGGCAATAACACATCACCTGGTCCTCTAGCAACACCCTTCCCTTTGTGGTAATATCTCTTTCCAAAAGTTACCTGTCAAATTCTTTAAAGAAGAAAAATGGGTGACTCTAAGTGCCATCTCATCATTTACCAACTTGCAAGGATCTCAAATGATCCTGAGTATTTCTTAGTGAAGCTCCATAAGCACAAATAAAACACTACAACCTGATGTCTTCCATGTAGTGTCAGGATGCTGGGGCTTCACTGTGCCAAACCAAGGTCCCTGGGAATGGAGCTGTGAAGGGTTTCATCCTGGTGGGAACACCAAGCAACGCGGTGAGCATGATGGAGGGAGGAAAGATGCACTGCAAGGCACAAAGGGGAGCAGGAGCACTTACACACAGATCTGGGTAGAGAAAGGCTGCCAAAATGAGGAACCCAGTACAGTCTGCAGTCAGATTCTTTCCACTCTAATACAGGAGAATCATATTCAGCACCGTGTCAAGAAAAGTTTCCCAATGGTTTTTTTGTAATCTCTTTTGGGTCTTCTTTACCTGAAAGGAGCAGTTTTGCACTTCACAGCTTTTAGCTTTTTGGGAAGCATACCACATAACCCCCTTATGAATACTTAAGATGGAAGGGAAGGCAGAATTTGGCTGCAGAAAGCTTCTGGAAAGGGCAACCAGACAAAAGGGAGATGTTATCCGTGGGTCAGCCAGGAAACTGATACAGCTTTGTGCCACCAAACAGTAGTTTCCTATTACTGCATGTCTGTAGAAAGCCATGCACACTCCTTGTGTGTATGTGCATAAAATTTAAGTCTAAACATTATTTAACCCTCACAGCTCAAGAGAGAATACTGGCACATGGCTAGAAGAGGAGCATCTCTTTGGAAGGAGATGCACATCCGAGGAGACTGTGAGAATAAAGACGTCAGAATTACCTCTGGTCACAAAGGCAGCAAATCTTGCTACCCCACAGTACCACTGTTAACTACAAATTTGTGCAAGAGTTTCACAGCAGGTCCTGCACTGAAGATGCTGTCCTCTTTTCCAGGGAGTCAGTCACCCATGGCATCCAGCAGCATTAATAAGTGAAGAGATAGAGTGCAGTGGAGCATATTCGTGATTAAACACTTCAAGCCTATTAGGCTTGAAATTTTTTTACTTTGTCTAATCTGAATGATCCTTTTATTCTCTGTTTTTAAAATCAAGAGACATGCCAGAAAGGAAAGATGGCTACACATGGATTCAGGGGATTTCTGATTATTTTGCTGTTCTGGAACAAGTTTCTTACAGACCAAGGAGCAGGTCACTTAAAACTGATGTGTAGTCTCACCTCTGATTTGAAATGATAGTGAAGTCAATGTCTGAATTTCTTCAAGGATTTCAGGGGTTGTTTTTCTGTCTCTAACACAATCTTTCTCCTGTTAATGTTGAAGAAGTAGTTTCCTATCTGATAGAGCAACATATTGAAGATTGGATGACATTAACCCATGCACCTTGCACAGATGGGAGGTTTTATGCAATTGTACAAAAAAATAAGAATGTGAACATTTTGCTTTTTAACAGAAAAATCTGAATAAAGATGATTATACTTAATTCTTTGCTGGCAGGGCAGTGGTGGAATCTGAAGTTCCACCAGACAGCATTTAAAGTGTTGGGCAGAGTTCCTAGCCCCAGCCGAAGATAATTTTAAAAGCCAGGAGAGGCAGCAAAGAAGTGAGTTGGTAGCATATCACCTGTTCCCCAGTGAAAGCACCACCGAAAATAAGAATTGTGAGTCTGTTCCTGTGTTGCTGGGTTGTTCAGATTTCAGCGGTTTTAAAGTATTTATTTGGTCAGGAGTGTCTGTGAGAGAAAAAAAAACCAAAACACAACCTCAAGATGAGAGCACAGGGAGGAATCACAAAGCCAGAAGACACAGTCCAAGCTCTTGACAAGCATGGGAAGCACAACCCTTAGGGAGTTAAATGACAGTACAGCTACACTGATTTACTGAGGGTAAAGTCTCCTGTCTCTCCTGCCGTCACACACTAGACCTTGATCCAAACCACAAGGGCACTGCCAGCAAGGCACACCCAGCACTAGGCACCACCCATCTGGCCTCACCTCTACATATGGAACATCTGTATGGTTTTATATGGTAACTGTGACTGGCACAGAGGCTTCTCCCTGTACCAGTGACCAAACAAATCAAGATGGAAGTAGAATGACTCCTAAGCACCTTGTGCCAATATATCTGCTGATGTCATGACAAAGGCAAGGTGATGGCTAATTGTTGTTAAGCAAGTGGCCCCAGTCGCTTCCTCCTCAGGCTCTTGATGCTCCTCTGAACCTGCTGTGACTGGCCTTGCACCAAAAGGCCAGTTCTGCTGAAGGTTTTGATGTTCTTCCTTGTTTAGTTCCTCAAACTGGTGACACAGGCACAAATATTGGCACAGAGAGAGATTCTAGAACAGGCATCCAGGAGGCTGCATCATTCTAGTGTCACCCAACTTAGCTCCATGGTAACACCAAACTGGACACCAAGGCCTTCACTGCAGAACTTGGCCCTGTGAAAGCCCTGAACAGGAAAAATTTCATTGGAGCCACTCTTGGATGGATGGGGTAAATGCCTTGAGAGTCAGTAGAAATCAAGTGAGAAAGAAAACTTGGGGCACAGGTACCAGCTGCTCCCTGAACTACACACGTAAAACTAATTCCTGGCAGGCAGACTGTTGCTCAGTCACCATCATGCTGTCCTGCCATTTTTGTGTGGCCAAGCAGGGCATATGAACAAGAAAAGGGCATTCACATACAACTCACTAGTCAGTGCTTCCTCCTACAGTGCCAGTGACTCAAGACATTGATGGAATTGCTACTAGAACCCAAAACAGGGAAATTTGTGTTTCTTAATATTCGCTCCTCTGACTTCCACTGCAATGAACCCCATGAATAACAGTGCAAACCACTCTGAGTTCAGCAGAAGCTAGAGAGCATTCCCTCAGGGTTAAGAAGCATCCAGTCTATTCCAAGAAACCTGTCATGCATTAGAAAACAACACATTCACTTAACTAGGATAGTTCATTTTTAGCAAAAGCTTCCAAACTCCCCTTCTTTCAGCAGCATTACTAGTTTTAGGTTACTACAGTTGCAAGACTTTTTTCTTATGCCTCTTTGGTATTTTCTTATGCCTCTTCGGTAGGTGCTTTCTTCCCCCTCTCACCACAGTGTGATAAATAAATAATCGTGATTTGTGAAACAAATGGGTGATTACATCAAAATAAAACAAACGGATTGTAAAACTTAATTACACCCCCCTAAAGAAATAAAACAGACCCTTACAAGGTCAAGAGGCCTAAAACCTCCTTACTATCCTAAGAATAAAATATAGTAGAACTGTCGGAGGACAGAAATTGTGTGAACAATTTCTATTGCATTTCTGCGACCTTTGGCCTTGGCATGGCTGGGTGCAGACAGTAAAAAATACTGCACCAATATGGCTGCAGGCCTTGTGCCAAGGTGAAGAAGGAGTTTTTTTTGGCAGAAGTAAACAAGTTTTATGGACACCTGCTGTGGTCCAATTGGTACTGTACAGCTCAGTGTGTTTTCCTTATGTATCCAATGTAACCTGGAAAAGAATCACGTCTCTGTGTCACAAACAGCATATAAGTTGTCTTCCCTCTAATAAAGCGGACATTTTGCCTGATCACATTGACCTAAGAGCATTCTGTCCGTCCCCCTCCACCATTATAGAACTTTAAATCTTTAGGCGCCTGTTCGTCCAAGAATGCATGAATTATGACCGGTTTTAGAGAAAACACTTTTAGCTTTAGCTGTAAGGAAACCCATATATTAAATACTTAGCAAAAACCTGTAGAATGTGTATGTATATAATTAATATGCATAAAGGAGCTAAGATAAATACTAAATGTACCCTGTAGTATGTGTGCAGATTTGGGAAACTGGTCCCCATCTCTGTCACCCAGCCAGCTGCTTCCTTTTTCCATATAATAAACTATTATTCAAAAACTTATAGAAACTCAATACTTTATCACAATTGGTGACTTTCCTGACGTGATGTTCTCCAAGCCCTGCTGGGTTAATTAGTAGTCAAAATGGGGGGGGCCCCGCTGAATTCAGCGGCATATTTCGAGTCTAATTTTCCACAGGACTGGAGTAACACGTTATATGGTTATATGGTAAAAGCAAGGATTGCTCCCAGATTGCTGCAGCAAAAAGGGCCCATAATTCTCGTGCACAAAGACCCAGGGAAGAAC